ATCCTGGCAGCCAGTTTATTGGGTGAGGGGACTGTGACGATTTGTTAATCTAATGAATAACTGATTTGTTAAATCAAATGAAAAATTGTGCGTTTGATTGGTCCAGACGCTACAGGCAATACATGCATACAGTAACTTAGCATTTGCTTGGTGGATGCCATTTGGTTTGTTTTGAAAATGACCATCAACTGATGAAACCACAAAGGGAATGTAACAGAGGTAACAAATGTATGACCTTATATTATTTAAAAAAAAAATAAAATAAAATTAAAAAAAACACTATCGCTTTTTCTTGCTGGTCAAAAGGACATTTGTGTTTTATGATTGTTCTTTCCCAACCTGTTTTCACTCCCAAGACATCCGATACTGCCACAGAAAAATGCATGTCCCTATACAGATACCAAAAGTAGCCTTGTTGTGACCAATTACCTTAAATATTTTTTTCCAAACAGTTGATTTGTCTGAGGAACAACTTACAACTTTTATCTTTTTTTTTTAATTTTTTATAAAAAAGTAATATTTGTTTAGCATTGTAGTTTGTTGACCATCCAAAGATGTGTACAGTGTATCTATAATGGCAGTGGTTCTCAATATTTTTGACTCCAAAGACCCACTTGTCCATGACAGTAGATTTGAGTAATTAACCACAATTAATTTTGTAACTCCCATTAGTTTCATAAAATATATGTCCTTAATTCAATAAAACTGAAAGAACTAGTTAAAATAAGAAATATGATGTCAATTGATATCTTGGTATTGTAGCATTGTAAAGAAGTTTTTTTTTCTCCTTGGAAGTTTGCTAAGGCCCTCTTTTTTGTAAATAACAAATGTTCTGTCAAGGTGGTCTTAGGTGATTCATAACATGAAATACTCTTATGAATGATGTTATTCATTTCATGATACACTAAAAGAAGATAAGGTTCTTTACACACAGTAACAGATCTTTTTAGAACCATATCTTCCTAAAGAACCCTTTTATCCTTAAATGGTTATTTGTTCAAACCATCAAACTACACAAACTGTCTGCACACACTCAACGGGTAAATGGTTCTGATTTCCTACCAATCATGTATTTTTCTCTTTTTCTTTTAATTTAATTTAAATGTATTGTGTGTGTGTGTGCGTGCATGCGTGCGTGCGTATTCCTATGTAGATGCTTTGTCACTCCACAACCCTGATCAACTGCAGAAAGAAACTACCACTCAAAATACACACACAATGATGGACATAGACAATGAGGCATCATAGAGGATTGAGATTTTACTGAAATATTATTTACTGAAATATTGACTGAAATCAAGATTATTTAAATATTCTCTCTCTTTTGCCATTAGTTAGTTATGCATATAGTTGTCCTACAAATACAGTGGTTGTAAAAAGTTTACATGCACTGTTAAAATTTCAGGTTTCTGAGATGAATGCAAGAAAAATCTTGTCATCTTTCTCCACATTTAAAGTGATATCCATGCCAGTAAAATTTGAACATTTCATAAATTTTTTTATTTGGAATTGTATTATAATATGACATGTATAATGCAGTCATGAAAATATCAAAAAGTCTTTCAGTACTATATATTACTTTCTCTGGAACTGTAACCAAATACATATTGAGATGGATGCTGTAATGGCATAACCCACTTGCAAGACCTGCCTGAATGGGTAGTAGCAGCAAATAGTATTTTATAAGATTCTAATTTGAGGCCATAAATCTTTCATGTTGTTTCTTGTTCTGAAGCTAAAAAGAGAAACAATTTAAAGTTAAGATATAATGTAATTTAAATGTATTTTGTTGCTGAATGTAAAAAAAAAAAAAACATTCTATTAAACACTAAGAAACTTACTTGAAGTAGGTGAATATCCACTTTGATGTGAAGTACTGGAGCCTGGTCCTGAAGAAGAGTTACACCATGATAAAGGTTCACTTTTTTTATTTTATTTTATCTTCTATATTATTTTTTCCTCAGATGCAATAAATGTTAGGTTGCTTTTCTCTAAACACATTAAGAATAAAAACTTTCTACAGATCATTTACCAGCAGCTCGTCTCTTCCTCCATTTGATGAGTGCAGTTATGCTGAGAACAGCCACACACATTAATATCAGCACATTGATAATTGTAGACAGAGCAGAGGATCCAAAGTCAGATTTTTCTAGATCCTCATCTGTGGTAAAAAACAAGAAAATCAGTCAGAAAATAAATGTATAAACTTTTGAGATTTAGATTTTGGCTTATATGAAGAAACAGCTTATATGAAGAAACAGATTTGCACTGTTACAGCTGGAACAAAATTAGTTGTTTTGGTTTGAATATAATCTGAGGACCTCATATATCCCTGAACCAACATACAATACTACCATATCTTCAAGTTTGATTGCAACATTTAATCATTGTTAATAGTGTTCACTGTTTGTTTGAATGCATGTCATTAACTTACTGCATGATTTTGACTGTACATTTCTGCAATATGGACATCACCTTAACATGGCGACTGCCAATAAGCTATATGTAATGTAGAAATTTTCATTTTCTGTGAAGCTGCTTTGCAACGATTTGTACTGTGAAAAGCACTATACAAATAAACGGGTCCCACTTTATATTAAGTGGCCTTAACTACTATGTACTTATTGTGTTCATATTGTATTGCAAAACACATTTGCTGCTATTGAGGTGTAATACGGGTAAGGTTAGGCTCAGGTTTGGTGGTATGGGTAG